TCTCTCTCTCTCTCTCTCTCTCTCTCTCTCTCTCTCTCTCTCTCTCTCTCTCTCTCTCTCTCTCTTCCAACCCATAACACATAAAAACAATATATTTCTCAACTCATTCAATATATTCAAATGTAAGAGAGAGAGAGACTAAAGAGCTTGAGTGAACCACCAAAGTGCGGTACCACCGGTACTTCCGGTGCTATTCCAAAAAAGTGGACCACTCCGTCCCCCTTAAATAGGTATGAGTGAACTTGGAAAATAATAGTTGATGCTAACAAGTAAATTTCGTTTTTGCTAAGTTTGGAATTTGTGTGAGGTTGAGGTGACGTCCGAGAATGGTGTTATACACAGAAACTGCTTTCCTCGTTGATTTATATTATTGAAAATTTGAAGTACTAATCGTAATCAATTGTAAAACATATATGTAATTAAAGGTTTATAATCATAGTAATAAGATACTTGTTTGCTAATATGTCAAATTTTTTTATTATGAACCGGTGTATCAAAGACTTCCAACAAAGGAGAAATTAAGAATGCTTAGAATTTGATCCGGATGTTATCGTGATAATCTTTCAAATTAGTCTAAAAAACATATTAGGAACCATCTTATGAACGGAATCATGCATGTTAAAACCAATGTATCGTAACTATAGGCTTTAGTGGATGGAAAAAAGAGTCTCAGTCTTGCCACTCTAGGAGCTAATTAAGAGCATATTAGGAGCATATGGTATGGGCAACTTGAAGTGGTGTTATAACAAGAAGCAACAAGATGAGGGGGTGGTGTTCATGGTGTTATAACACCATGTTAAGAGGAGAGAGATAGAGAGAGATAATTTGGGCAGCCAATAGGTGATCACGTTTCTTCTTGTCATGGAGACAACAAGAAGCACCACAACAAGATGCAACGAGGAGGGGGGGGGGTGTTTTTGATGTTATAAAGACGTTATGAACTGCCAACTCAGCCACAACAAGAAGCAACACGACCCATTATGCTCTAATGCTCTTTTATACCCATCGTCTATTTACTTTACTTTGAAACATTGTGTTTAGTGATCCACTTCCTCAATGACATTAGTGATTCAATAGCCTACCAACTAAGCATCCGTGGTAACAATTTGTAAATGAAGTGTAATTTTTATGTTGAAAAATTAACATGAAATATTCTATTATCTGTTAAAGAACAATCGAATATCTGAAATAATTATAATAAACTTATGCATTAGATTCTTTGACTAGATTGATAGTTTATCCATAAATAAAAACAAACTTTAACATTTTGATTAACTTCTTTTGGTGAGACCCAATGTCAACCCCGAACCCTTCAACTTGCTTTCAGTGATTGAATCAATCCGCTCACTCATCTCCTCTGTAAGGTGGTTTTCCCAATCTCCCACCTTTCCTTTCCTGAAAAAATCTCGATTCTCCACCACCAATTGCGCAGTAAACTTCTGAGCACCACCACCGTCATTATTCACCTCAAGATTACTCAAATTCTCAAAGCTACACAGCTTCTCAATCTCTCCCACCACCCCTCCCTTCTCCTCCTCCACCGTAAAAGGGATTCCCATGAACGCCGCCAACTTCTTCAGCTCCACCGACGGTTCCCTCTTCATATCCTCATACTTCAGGAACAAGATCTTCTCAGGTGATTCCTGGCTTGCTTTCCAGTATCCCAACACATGGTCCCAAAATGGTCCGTATTCTGAGATCCCGTTGCAGAAAAGCTCGTACGTTTCATTGAACGAAATGGGTGTTAGTTCTTTCGACCTAAGTTTGCTCATGAAGTGCCACTTGGAAATGAGTACGTCTTTTGGATCCCTACACACGTACACAAACTTGCACGTCGACGAGGGTGATGACAGTGAGATCGGTAACAAGCTGTGAGCAAAGTGTGTGGCGAAGAGTCGAGGAGAAGGGAGATGGTCGAACTTAGTTACCGGATAGTCAAGAAAAATGTGGGAGTCAAGGAAGGGGAAAACACTCTGGGGTCCATTGTGATGAAGAGGATGATCGGAAAAATTGTAACGGTGACGGTTGGCGGTGGCGAACATGAGAGCTTTAAACCAGGTGGTTCCACATTTCATGAAAGTTGCAAGGAAGATGTCAGTGGATTGGGGATGGAAGTAGTCATCGATCATTAGTAAACCTTTGATAGCTTGGGGGGTCAACCAGAAACCTTTGTGTAAAAAGATGTTTGGGCTTCTCCAACCTTTCTGTTTGGGAAGAGTTGCAAGAAGATCGTCGAGCTTTTCATCGAGCTTGTTGTACGCTTGTAACTCTTCTTCTGTTGGGATTTGGTTTTCAGCGTCAATTGCGGTGAGGTGGCAGCATGTATTTTGACCGGGAACAAGGTATGTCGACATGCTGTCGGACTGGATTTTGAGAGAGTGGAGAGAGTTCTCGAGTAGATTAATTGGTAGAATGATGCAGGAGAAAAATCAGATAAGAAGTTTCTTTAATAGTAGCTATCGCTAGATAGATGTTTTCGGTTAAATTTTACTCGAAGTAAAAAACTGTCAATTGTTTATTAAGCATACGTTGCAAAATTTAAATGGAGATAATAAATTAAATCATTACAGTGTATTATTTCATAATCCATGATAATATACATCTACATAAAATAATTGGAACGAAAATAAAATTACAAAGTAATTGAATATACAACAAAATGAATCGTTACATTCAATGGTAACGTTTGATGGGCTAAAAAAATAAAATTAGGCATTCAAGCATGTTTATATATATATATATATATATATATATATATATATATATATATATATATAGAGAGAGAGAGAGAGAGAGAGGTTTAGGTTCTATGCAAAACAAAAAAACCATAAAAAAACCCTAAAAATCATAAAAATACATAAAAAAAAATACTTAGAGATCACAAAAAAAAATTTTGAATTTTTTTATCAAAAAATCGCAGCTTTTAACATAAAATCGCTGAAAATTTTTTCAAAAAAAAAAATTGATTTTTTTTTTTTCAGCGAAATTGTCAAAAAGGCTGCGATTTTTTGATAAAAAAATTCAAAAAAAAGTTTTG